CTGCGTGTGTGTGTTGTGTGTGTGTGTGAGTGTGATTTTACTTGGCAATCGTCCAGTCGAATGTGATTGTGATATCGAGTAGTAGAGTGGAAGATAGTCGAGGCACAGTGCACATTTCAACTTACCTAATGTACCTGGCAAATATGGACAACTAGTAACATGATTAAAGTTTTGGCTCTGCATCTCCTCCTGATCCGTTTCGCGGTGATAGAAGTAATTGAAATTACTGACGATAACCGGTACGGGCAGTGCGATTGTCAGCACACCAGCGATCGCACACAATGATCCCACAATTTTGCCCCAAACGCCGACGGGTCTGTTTTGTTATGTTCATATTTTTATCGTTTATCGTTTATCGTTGATCGATATCAATTCAATTTCATTTCATTTGGTTGCATATCGTGTGTCAAACGAATTTCAATGCGTTTTTTGTTTTGTTTCGTTTTTTTTTTTAATTCCAATTTTCGTTCAATTTTCCATAAATTTTCCGTATATTTTTTTGGCGTGTTTGTTTGTAAAGGTTAATTTTCGGGTGATTTTTGTTTTGGATTTTTATCGGTTTTTTAGGTGGTTGTTTTTTATATTACGTTTATATTTTTTTAGATTTGGTTTATTTTGTAGTTAAATCGATTTGAGGTATAGATATATATATGCAGATATATATATATTTATATATATATATAAATAGATTTGATTTTTGGATTTTTGTTTGTTTGTTTTGGATGATGCGAGCGATGTTATCGAACGAACGATAAATAAAATGAAAATACAAATATATAAGAAATGTAAAGTAAAACTATCGATTCTTTTTTCAATTTTAGTTTTTAGGTTATGCTTGAGATACATTTTTCTTATATTGTATATAGATATATATATATATATTGTTTTTACTTGTTTTTTTTTTTTTTTTTTTTTTTTTTTTTTTTTTTTTTGATTGCATTATAGATAATGTACGTATACAAGTACGAGTATATTTGGTTATAGGCAATAGCAGTAGAAACAGTAAAACGAAATAATAGTTTAGCAAAGAGTACTCGAAATTAGGCACAACACTTAGAACGATTAGCGTTACGAGTGGTTTTTGGTGGATTCTATATATAAATTTTTTTTTGTTTTTCTGTTTTTTTGTCTTTTTTTTGCATAGGCTTTGGGTTAGGGTTTCCTTCTTTTTTCATAAGTGTGTTAGATTATATATATATATATATAAATTGCTAAGACGGCATGGTTGTTTGTTTCTGTGTGTGTGTGTTAGTGTCTGTGTGTGCGTATATACATATGCATTATAACATTATAACGGGCGAGTTATACAGGTGCACAACGTGTTAAACAGAGTGCGAGAGTGATAGAAACAGATAGAGAGAGAGAGAGACAGACAGCGAGAGAGAGAGAAAGCAGAAAGTTTTGTGTGTGTGTGTGTCTGTGTTTGTGTTACGAAATGTCTTGTGACAGAACTACTCAAAGTTAGGCGCAACTTGTGGATGGGGGCATAGGCCAGAGGGGGGCGGGGAGGGTTGGTGTGGGTTGCTTGGACGACAGGAGCATGTGGCAAGTTGCGGTTATTCTATTGCACGAGCCAGGCAGATTGTTTTGGCATAGTTTGAAGGCGTTGGATTAGGACATTAGGCACGGTTACGGCTGACTAACTTTGTGTGCGTGTGTGTGTGGCTGTATCTGTGTTATTTTGCTCATTGGCATGGGTATTTGGCATATATATATATGAGGGACATGCAGCATGCGTTCGATAAGAGCAGAGCTAAAAAAATTGCGCAACTTGTGTTAATTGTATCGGTTTGTCTATCGATCAATCGATCGATTAGCTATGGCCACGGCCAGGCAGCTGTTGCTGCAAGCATGGCTTGGCATGCCGCACTATATACGCAAGTCGAGTTAGTTAAAATACTTTCAACTGCAATGTATATATACGCATGTGGATGTGAAATTCAGATGAGGTTATCGAGGGAGTTTATCGATAACTAAGCACTGCATGACAGATGTGTCTGTGTGAGAGAGTGTGTGTAGATGGATTTCTTTTTTTTTACTGGTTTCTTTGTTTGGACTTTATGTGAACTAAACAACGACACAACGTTACATTGATTATGAATAGAAAAACTGATTAAATAGAGCTTTTCTAAGCACTTTTCGTTCAATTGCGTTCGCCTTAGGCAAAGGCAAGTTTTTGCAATTGGGGTCAACTGGAAAATTTGCTTTTGCTTAAGGCTGTCGTTGAATTGAACCATAACAGAACAGAACAGAACGGTACGCAACGGAACGAAACGGAACGGAACGGTAATAGAACACGTTGGCAACACAAGATATTAAGTAGACAGTTAGGTATATAGGCGGTGTGAGAATATAAGAAAGGAAACGAAACGGAAATGAAACGAAACGAAACGAAATGAAACGAAACGAATTGGAATGGAACGAAATAGCGCAACGAGTCAAATCAAGTTTAGCAATCGCAAATCAAAACCATAATACATAACGCATAAAGCAAACGAACTCGTAGAGTCTCTTCTTCTTTTGAATTAATAGAGTATTGTGAGGCTTGGTTAGTTTGTGATAAGAAGTAACTAAAAAGCTTGGCTTGGCGAAACAGTTAATAAGTAAATGACAACACTTGAGCGCAATTAGCACGCACGTTAAACGAACGAAAGACTTGTAAGTGTAATGGAAATCATACTCAGAATCGAAAACAAAATCGTAAAGTCGAACATAAACAGAATCGTAATCAGAAAAGTTAGAATTGTAATTGTATAGATTTGCATACGTCATGTCACCATATCCAACGGTGGTCATGGTAACGACTGCCCACCAAAATGCATCGGGTATGGACTTGAAGAAGGAATTTTCGCTTCCAGCTTCCGCAAAATAAACCGCTGATGAGAAGAGTACGACGCCTAAAAAAATTGATGGGAGAAATTGCTTTGCATTGGTTCCGACTCGATAAATTCATAAGCATAAGTAATTGTTGTTTTTTTTTTTGTTTTACTTTATCATATAAATGTTTTTTTTTTTTTAATATATATATTATATTTTTTAACTCAAAAAGATTTGAAATAAAAATAGTTTGTTTATTGGAGATTCGGCTTGGCGTCCGGGCAAGTCCTTGTCTGTGATAAAAAGTCTCAGGCTGGATACGTATGAACGGTCCGGCAGATAATTCTCTCTACATGTGTAACTACAAATGTGTGTGTGTGAGACTGTGTGTGTGAGTGTGTTTGAGTTTTTGTCTGTGTGTGTGTGTGAGTGTCTGTTTGCTCTGTAGAGCGCGCTACACAATGAGTTAACGGAGTGGCTGATGAGCCGGCCAAACAGCGGACAAAACGGAACACAGTTAACAACTGAATCCGGAACCGGAACCGGTGCCGGAACGTTATGACATTCCTAGTTATGGCTGCAACGCCATTGTGTAGCACGCCTTGCAGCTCGTTAGACGCCTATAATAAGAGAAATGTGTGTCAGTGTTGTACGAAAAGAGTTTTGGATTCTATGCAAAAATAAACTGAGCCACGACAGTCCCAAGCAGAAAAGAAACGAGTGGGCAGAACTGTTCAAGAGCAATTAATCAAATTCTGGTTTCCGGTGTGCCAAGCCCCTGGGTCTAGAAATATGGTGATATTGCAGTCAGAAGAGCTCAACGAAAACGACGACGACGACGACGGCGACGACGGCGACGGCCATGACGATGACGATATGAATTTGAGTTCAAATGTTGAATGTTTTATTTGTTTTGTGTATGGCATTCGACTATGGTTGGTTAGTTAATTATTCTGCTTGGGGGACATTTGGGGAAACTGAAGAACAGAACGAGACGAACGAAATGGAAGAGCACGAGAGAGAAAATTGAGGTGCGGAACATGCCAAAAAAGTTCACATAACAAAAGAGCAAACGAAACCAGTTCTGAAAGTAAATTAAAAACCAATCGCGATCAGTCGTTCGACCTGTAAAGACGTGAATTCGAACAGCCTTCGCTTAAGCTCTACTGCTGCAGAGTTCTAAAAATAGAACTTTGCGGTGCATTCTTCAACGCAACAGCAACAAAAACCGCACACGCAGCGTTTTCTTATCGCTTGCTTCCGCGTAACTCAATTGCTTTAATTGCAATTTACGAAATTTCGTCGCTTGGCGCGAGTGCGCCTGCACTCAAAAGCACAATCCGCGATGACATCTAATGTCAATAACCTCGCTACAGCTGTAAAGGTAAATGCAGAAATGCAAGCCCAGCTTAACGTTGTGATGGCAAATAGGCAAGCCTCCATCATGCCAATAAACTCAAAAATAGATATCGCCTCCGTGCAAGGCATCACTAACAACAAAAACACGAAACGTAAACAGCCAAATTCACCAAAAACCATCAAGAAAAGGCTCATCTTCGACGAACCAAGCACCAGCAATGCAGCATTAATATCAGAAAATCGATTTTCACTGCTCGTAGAAGAAGATGAAGACTACAGCGAATCACCTGTAGCTCCAGAAGCCCCAGTATTGACCGACCAGCAAACTACTCCGAAACCTCGTCCGCCCCCCATATGGTGTCCAAACATCAAGTCTGTGGCCCTACTTCAACAGATAATAGATAAAGTAATTGATGCTAAATCATACGTAATTAAGCCAAAGAAGAATAACATAGGTGTATTAACCCAATGCAGTGAGGACTATCGCAGAGTTATAGACCACTTTACTAAGCTGGAATTGGAGTTCCACTGCTACCAGCTTAAGGAGGACAAACCATATAGAGTCGTGTTCAAAGGGCTTCACTCCAGCACTGATACAACACTAATTAAAAAGGAATTGGAAACCAAAGGCCACACAATTACAAATGTGCACAACCCACTGAGCCGTATGGACAAAACACCGCTAAATATATTTTTTGTTGACGTGGCTCAGGCCCCCAACAACAAAGAAATTTTGGACATTCGAGTTGTCTGCAGGCAACGCTGCACAGTGGAACTGCCAAGAAGATACAACGACCTGACACAATGCCATCGCTGTCAAGAATTTGGACACACACAACGCTACTGCCACAAAGCTCCCAGATGTGTGCGTTGCGCCGGGAAACACGCATCCAAAGACTGCACCCGCGAAAAGGACCAGGCACCAACTTGTGTGCACTGTGAGTTACAGCACCCAGCCAACTATAAGGGCTGCCAAGTATACAAGCGGTTGCGCAAATTGCAATCCCCAGCACAAAAAAGGAGTCCCACACAAACACCGTCTACGGGTCCGAGTACTGCTTCCGAAATTACAAGGCCCCGGAGCATTACCCAAGCCACGAGCTTTGCAACGCCTATTAGTGGTGTTTCTTACGCACAGGCCGCTAGAGGTGGACCGTCAAATAAGAATACCACAAGTGACACTTTGTTCACTGAAATGCTTCAGCAACAACAACGTCAGTTTGACGCAATTAATGCCGAGCTCAAAGCGATGCGAGAAGTACAATCCCAACAAGCAACCATGCTAAACAGTTTAATGGCCATCATAACCAAGCTTGCCTACAAATAATGGCTTTACGTGTGGGTATCTGGAACGCCAATGGCCTGAGAAACAAGACTCAGGAACTGGCTGCGTTTCTCTCACAAGAAAACATAGATATAATGTTAATAACAGAAACTCATGAGTGCCCCACTACACAAATTTTCGGATACGAACACTATCAGGCTCATGGTGAAGGAGCAAACTGCTTTGGTGGATCCTCAATCCTCATACGAGCAACAATACCGCATACACCTTTACTGCCAATTTGCAACGCAACAATGCAGGTCTCAGCCATCACCCTGCCTACGTCTATTGGAGCGATCGAAGTTGCGTCAATTTATCTTCCGCCAAACACTGGTCTGTGTGATCATCACATGGAACAGGTTCTAGGCCAAAGGTTGAATAAGACCCTCATCGGCGGCGACTGGAATGGATGGCACCCATTTTGGGGAAGCAATAGTGCGAATCGTCGCGGAGAAGTCATATTTGAGGCGATTCAAAACTTACAATTCAGCATATTGGCGACTGGAGCCCCCACCCGTTACCCAATTAATGGACACAGGCCCTCGGCAATCGACTTCGCTGTCTACAAAGGCATCTGTGACCGGCAATTGACCATTGAAGAATCCTTGGACCTATCCTCTGACCACCTGCCACTAATAGTCACAATCCACGCGCAGCCACAGCCCTTGCCCATTAGGAAACAACTACTGCCAGCAGGATCAGATTTAGGAGTCTTTAGGCGCGAGCTCCATTACTCTTTGCACATAGAAATGGAACTTAACACTCCTGAAGACGTGGACTACGCAGCAAACAAACTGCAGGAAGAAATAGTCAAAGCTGCGCACCAAGCCGCCCCACCATCTTGCCAAACAAGACAACAGTCTCCGTACAACATCCCCCTCACCTTGGAGGCCCAACACCTACTAATACACAAAAGATGGGCCAGGAGACGCTGGTTAAGATTACGCACGCCTGATGCCAAATCCATGTACAACGAAGCCACGAGGCATCTTAAAGCTGCTCTCGCCCTGCTTCAAAAGAGGTGTATCAGCGATGCGCTGGTACGAGCTGAATCGCCCACTGACGCAGAGTTTCAATTATGGAAATTTACAAGAAAGCTCAAACGGCAGCCAATACGACGTCATCCCATTCGGAGCATTTCTGGTTCCTGGCACATTGGAGACGAAGCTCAAGCTGAGGCTTTTGCAAACCACCTTCAAGACCAATTCACGCCGGTGATTACCGCAGAGGCCTCAGAAATCGAAGCAACAGAAGACATCGTTCTCTCGCCCCTCCCAGCTGAAGACCAGATAACTGGATGTACAAAAGAAGAGGTTCTTGAACACATCAGAAGAGTGAAGGCAAAAAAATCCCCTGGATATGATCTAATAAACGGCAGAGTCCTTAGAGCACTGCCTGACTCCACCATAGACTACATAACTATGGTGTACAACGCCATGCTCCGCATCCGGCACTTTCCAGCCTGCTGGAAGCGCGCCGTGATTGTGATGATTCCTAAGCCTGGCAAACCCGTGGGAGAAATTGAGTCGTACAGACCAATTAGCCTGTTGCCAGTACTCTCCAAAATATTCGAAAGAATATTTCTGGAACGAGTACTGACACATCTGGGACGCCAGGAGGCCATTCCAAACCATCAGTTTGGCTTCAGGAGACAGCATGGAACACCGGAACAGGTTCACAGAGTTGTGCACCATATCCTTGGAGCCTTTGAAGAAAAGATGTACTGCTCTGCCGTCTTTTTAGACATCAAACAGGCGTTTGATCGAGTTTGGCACCTGGGACTGCTGCAGAAAGTGAGGACCACCCTTCCAGCCCCATTTTTCGCGTTGCTATCCTCATACCTTATTGGAAGAACCTTCCAAGTGTCAAGGGGGCAAACAGTATCCTTGACTAGACCAATTATGGCTGGAGTACCACAGGGTAGTGTTCTAGGCCCAACACTTTATACTTTATTCACAGGAGATATGCCAACTCCCGAGCCAAATATAGGAAGTACAGATGCAGTACTCATAGCGACCTATGCAGATGACACCGCCATCTTATCACGTCACGTATCTGCGCAAGAAGCTTCAGACTCACTACAAAAATATCTGGACTCTTTCGGACGCTGGGCAAAACGGTGGTGTATCACCATTAATGCACAAAAGTCTGTACATACTACCTTCGCCACTAGAAGAGGAGATTGCCCAAGCGTTGCATTGGGGCCCACTATTCCCAAAGCCTCAAAAGTAAAGTACCTTGGTATCACTCTTGACAGAAGGCTGACTTTTAAAGCGCACATAAGTCAAGTAACCTCAAAATGCAAAAGCAAGCTAAAAACCCTCGACTGGATGCTGAGAGCTTCAAGCAAGTTGTCTTACAGCAGCAAGGCCGCCATCTACAAGGCAATAGTTGTCC